TCTGTATTTACGCAGGTATTGTAGTGATTAAAATCAATTCTCTTGTTGGTCCTTTGTTTTGTATTTATCAGCTACGCAAAGGATGGAAACTTGGGATGTCAAAAGAACAGCTGAGTGGCTCTGCCAAATTGGACTTGATAAGAAGTATGCTATCACTTGCGAGGAGAAGACCGTAAGTGGAAGAGCTCTGTTGTTGCTGGCCAGTGGAGGCGATGATCAAGTCATGTCAGTCTTGGGTCTTAAAATGGGTCCCCAAGCAATTCTGATGAAAGGCCTTGAACCGCATTTACTTGCTTTTAAAGAAAACAAGCTCGAGATAGCGCAACGTTCAAAGCCATTGAAGGAGTGGAATATTGAGGATCTGTGTAGTTGGCTTAGAGAACTAGTCTTACCGGAAGAGTGCTTAACATTAGTTCAAACGGAGGAAATTAATGGCCAGGCCTTGCTGTTGTTAAGGGAAAGTGGAAAGTTGAAGGAGTCTTTGCAATTAAAAGAGGGATCATGGACCGTTCTTGAACACGAATTATCCTTACTTTTTCTGGAAAGAGGTGACATTAAAACTGAAACAACCACAACGATTTTTACAAACAAAAACACGCAGTTGATGCCGACACTTGAGCGAAAAGAAACAGCCGAATTTAAAGAGCCATTGGCGGCTAAGCAACATTCCGTCGAGGAGACTCTTGAAATACCACCCAAGGTTGTTTTATCCAAGGAGGAGCAAAAGCTTTCGTTAATACGAGACTCGCTTAAGCTTGATATCAGTAGCGCAACGACCTCTGAAAACACGACGGATTGCGTAGTACGGTCAATTTTTGTTAAGCGAGGCAAGGGTGCCAATGCCCTCGAAAAATTGTTTAACTTTATTGTTATCACCAAAGAAGAGCTGGATGAAGAAAAACCCCGGAAACTATGGTCAAAAATTATTGAGAAAACAACAGAGTGGATGAAATTGCTACCTGAGAATGATGCCAAATCATTTTTCAGGGAGAGTGGATCTGATTCATTGCTTCATGTGCCCTCTGGCAAAAATTTGGTCTTAACAGATGGAAAGGTAGTGCAAATACCTCTCGGAAAACTTTCAATCGATGAATTCAAGCAGTGTGTTTTTATCATAATGGTCGATAAACAGTTGCTGAACGAGAAAAAAGCTTACAAATTTTCCTTAGACAAAAAGTCCAAAAGCTCATACAGCGTTAAATTGACTGCAGAGAGCAAATACCATGGAGCATTTGACCCAAACAGGCCAAGCCAGGACTTTAAGCCTAGTAAATTTTTTAAGTCCTTTATGACTGCTGCTGATGAGTCAGCTAAAACCGTCAACAATCCATCTCAGGCTGGTCCAGTGAAACCCTCCGTTCACATTTCACCTCCTTATCAGACGCCAAGACCCTTTAACAGTGAATTTGAAGGCAAGTATTACAATGAAGGCTGGGTTTTACCTGCCTGGGAATCTGGTTCTAAAGACTTAATAACACCAGTGCACGAGTTTAAACTTCTTCGAAGAGTTGGTAACAACTCTGAGGATATGATAAAAAAATTTGTGTATGAGACGTTGAGGTTTGCATGCGGATGCCTTAATGGAAGAACTAATGGAACAATACACTTCGGTGTTGCCGATGAGGAAGAAGAGCAAGCATGTGGCTATTATCCGAGGCAAATTGTTGGTTCATTGGTAACAGACAAGCCCACGTTCAGCAAGAAGCTTACAGAGTTCATTGATAAATGCTTTGTTGGCGACAGCAGGAGCAATGTTCACAATTGTATTAGACCTCCAGTTTTCATTCCTGTAAAAGGTACAGATGTTAAGCTGCCGGACAACAACAAAGTGGTCATTGAGGTTGACATTGAACCTAGGTACTCACTTTGCGCAGGAGAGGAATTTAATGTCAAATTTGAAGGTCTTGACCGTGGAAAGGCTGAAGCTACTGCTTACATTAGACATGGGTCAGAAACGAAAGCAATTGTTGACCCCCAGGAAATGAGGGTTTACATGAAAAAAATTCCCAAATTGGATGAAGATCGAAAGATGCGCGAACAAGAAAGTAACGCTGCTCAGGGTGTGGGAAAAGAGGACTCCCTCAAGCAACTTCATAGTAAACTGAAGACACTGTTGTGTTCAAACAAGACTTTTTTAGATTCCTCCTTATATCCTATCTTGGTTTTAGGTAAACCAAATACTGCTATGAATCAGGAATTTTTTGAACAAAATTTTCGCTTTCTACAGAATATCAAATGGCAGGTGGTAATAGATTTTGACGACCAGGGTTCCGATAGCAACGGTCTTTGTGCGGTTTTTAAGGCTTACCGTCAGTGTCAAATACACGAAGCAGAGGATTATTCAAGAGACGATAATCTAACTGAGCAGATATACCACGAGACTCACTGGATTTTTGCAAACGGCTATACAAAGCTTAAAAAAGAGTGTTTGGGATTTAAGCAGTGGAATAATTCAAAGCGTAAAAGAGGCTTAAGCCTTATTATCCAGTCACTAGCAAATACTATTCCGGGTGCAAGGGCAGTGGTATTGTTTTTGCTCTTTTTGAAAGAGTGTGAACCAATGGCAGATACCTTTAAAGATTTCTGCACTTTCCTTGATGGTCCCAATCAGTTACTTTATGTTGCTGAAAACTCAGAAGTGGTTGCAGCGTGGGAGGAAAAACTTTCCAGTACTTGTTTAGAAGAGTACCAACTTCGTGAAAGGGGTGTTGTGGGTATGTCGTGGAATGAGTTTCAAGAGAGTGTGCAACAAATGGTCCGTGGGACCGACCGACGAGAACGTTACGTTGCTATGGTAACTGGGGCTCTGTTTCCTGTACAAAATGTTACATTTAACAATGTTGAGATTGTCAGTGCTACGGAATGCGACGAATTGCATGATAAGAGCTCAAAAGAACGATTACAGATATCTTCGGAGGTGGAAATGGGTTTTTATAGAGGTTATTCTGTGAGTTGGATGAATTTTTGGTTCTCAGATAACCAAAAGAACCATGTTCTACGACGTACCAATTACACCAACCTAAAAATGTTATTACAAAAGTTGCATTCTCGAGGATCTGAGGGAAAGGTTCACACAGCTACAATTTATCACCATATAGGAGCGGGGGCTAGTACTATGGCTCGTCAAGCACTGTGGGATTTTCGACGGAACTCAAGTTTTCCATTCCGTTGTGCAGTAGTTACAAAGATAGATGACAGCACTTGTAAGGAGATCTTCCATCTCAGAAAAATAGGGTATGGAGATTATAGCGAAAGTGTTGCTCCACCTGTATTAGCACTTGTGGAGGATACTGAGGATTTTTTGTTTCGCGAGTTGCGGTCTCAAGTAGTGGAGCTTTGTCACAAACTTCCCAGGCAAAAGTTTCCTGTCTGTGTATTTCTCTATGTCAGACCGACTCAAAACCCAAGAGACTGTCATCTTCAGGAAAGGGATACAAGTGTTTTCCTTGAACAACACCTTAGCCCAGAGGAGGTAAACTGGTTTAAGGACAAGTACACAGATATGAAAGGGAAATGTCACAGAAAGGATCCAGAAAGTGATTTTGAAAATTATGCAAACGAGAACCTGATTTCCTTTATGATAATGAAGGAAAATTTTAACCCAAAATACGCTTCAAGTATTGTTGAGAGGAACTTAAAACATGTTACAGATGATGAACTCACAATGTTAAAGTACACGTCGCTCCTCAACGTATACAACCCTTATCCTGTCTTTGTGTCGTGCTTTGACACAATCATGGTGTCGCTTGGAATGCAACGAAGGAAACGCTTTTGGGATTGGGTGGAAAATTTGTCGCACTCAGCTCGGGTTTTTTTACGGGAGATGGATTGTAGTGCCGATTTTGGAACAGGGAAAGCTATTGCCATAGTTCATCCAATCATTGCTTGTGAGTTGTTAGACCAGATAGCAGAAAGAAATAAAACTTCGGTAAGTGAACTCGCTGTAGAGTTTCTGAGATCCCCTTTGTTAGCTGATCAAGAGAAGTCGTTTACCTTGAACTATTTACGTGATTGTGCAAATAGAATGTTAAAGCATCGAAAGAAATTTGAATATGGAGATGATATACAATCAAAATTTTCACCTCTGATTGAGAAGATTTTGTATTGGAAAAGCACAGACAATGCAACAAAGACAGCAACAGAAGACAGTATAGACCAAGCTGCAGGAGTCTTGAAGGAAGGACTGGAGAAATTTGGCGATCCAATGCTCGCTCAACAAATAGCTAGAGTTTTTTATGTCAATGCAGTAGCCTTTACAGAAGAATCAAAAATTGACTCCTGCTTTGCCAAGGCACTTGCATTTTGCAATAAAGCAATTGAAATGAGTCCCGGAAATTCGTTTCTTTTTGACACAATGGGTCGCATCCATGAAAGCAAGATGAAAATATTGTATGGCGCCATCCGTAAGGACAACCGTTTAATAGAAGTAGACACCGTAACTCCAATATTTCCGCTTGCCTTTGATGCAATAAAGTGGTTTCAGAAGTCGGTGGATGCGTCAGGTGATTGTCAAAATAACAGTGGCTTCCACGGTGAACTCTCTGTGACGTTTTACCTTCTGGATATTATTCGGTGTGTGCGAACTTTTAGGGGCCAGGCTGGATTAAACAGGCTTGATGGGTATCTTGCCTACTGCCAGGTAATACCACCTGAAGTTGAAGCACCTTGGAGTGAATTTCACGAAAGTGTCAAGAATTTAAGAAACCGGTGTATTAACTGTCTGGAGAAGCTTACAGAGATTTTTGCCATTTATAAGGGGAACAGCTTGGAAGAAAGAATGCTTCCAAAACAAATTGCTAATTTTAAGGCACAGTACTTTAGTTATTTTGGTGAAGGCCATATTAAGTGGAACACTGATAGCCCCGAAGAGCGTTGGGAGTACAGATGGTACCAAATAAATCAATATCTTGCTGGTGGTATTTTCTCAAGCGTATTTTCTGTTTCGACTTACGAGGAGTCACCAAGGCCAGCTCTTCTAAGTATTAAAAAGCTAGCTGAGGAAAACTATTCTGAGCTTGTGCAGGACCACTATAATGATTTATTGCTCATCATAACAACGAGCATGGCTCTTTACTCCCCCTATGGAAAGACTTCAAAGAGAAAACTAGTCTGGCTGACTGAAGAATACAAAGAAATGTACAAGTATGTCGAGAAGTTGTTTATAGTGGAGGAAGGTGATGGAAAGCACCAAAGACTTTATGCCCATTTGTTGAAAGTGATGTTTCTTTGGCCAAGAAAAGATTTGGAGTTAAGCGGTTATCGCGTGCAAGATTTTTACGATTCCTTAAAAAAGCTCTCAGAGAGGTGGAAAAGCAAGTATAAGGAACGCAATGACACAGACAAAATTCTAAAACAAAAGATGTATAAATATATGTCTTTCAGACGCGAAAAAAGACAATACACAACACTGTTCTTTTTGGGCAAAGGTTCTGGGCTAGAGGTTTTTGTTCACATAAATGAGCTAACGGATAGAGGATCTCCAGACTGGGAAAATGCTAATACCAGGAGGAGACTTCAGCGCCTTACTGGAGTAGTGGAAAGCAAAGACATCATAAGAGTAGACAATCCTCTGGACTCAACTAAAACTATTGAAGTTTACTACTCTTCACGGGAAGGCAGATTTTCGAAAGAAGAGGTTTCGTTTTTCTTAGGTTTCAGCTGGGCTAACCCTATCGCTTTTGACGTAAAATATACAAACAAAGATAGTAGAAAGCAGTCTGTAGAAGCCAGTGACCCATTTACAGGCGATCATCTCAAGTTTCTACCCAAATTGGACTTAATTACCTATGAAGACTACACCATGAGATTAGTAAGACTCAATAGAAAACTTAAGGAAATTGCTAAGTTGAGAAAGTGCAAAGAAGACGGCGAAGAATTGGACGAAAATCAGGTAACAAACCAACTTCTGAGTAGCAATAAATGTTCAAGACCACTTAATGCAGCTCCACCAGTCTTGATGAGGTGCAGTACAACTACTGTGTGAAACGTGATTCCATCTTGATTTAACTATCAATGGGAAGATATTTGGCGGAAAGATTCACACAGTAGCCGTGCTTTTGTTTAAGTTGTCTTCCACCTCCTGTAGAATTATCACTATTATTTGGAGTTTTTAATGTTATAGTAAGGTTTTTATCTCTATTTTTATAAACAGTTATTATTTCAGGTGTCCTCAACTAGCGGTTATGTTACATCCCTGTTGACCAATAAATAAAGTTATAATTATTATTATTATTATTAATATTATTATTAGTATTATTATTATTATTATTATTATTAAAATAATATACAGGAACAATTACTTAATTCTGATTGGCTGAAAGAGGATTGCAGTTCTGTTGTAATACTGGTGCAAATTTTTAACACGTGTGTGGTTTCTGATAAGATGTTAAAACAACAAAAGACCCCAACGAGTGTCAATCAGATTAGAGCGGTATCAATAGCAACTTATTGGTGGAAAATTAGGCGATGAATGTGATAATGAGATAAGACGCGTGGAAATTGGCTGGGGTTTTCAGCAAACATCGCTTTGTTTTGCGAGTAAAACAACAATAGAACTTCTAAATAATATTTCCAAAAACCCGAACACACTAGAGTACGTCTGTTTAGCTGAATTTATGGAAAGCCCGGTGCAGAGAGAAACATTGGTCACATTGCTAACAAAATCGAGGTAACAGGTAGCATACAGTAAATCCCCCGTTATAAAACAGTTACAAGATTATCAGTCACCTTGCGATACGTACTCGCATCGTTTATCACTTTTAAATAGCGTTTTGATTGATTGGTTCAATCCAATAAGGAAATTAATGCAAAAGAATATCGTCATCCTTTTTGGGGGTATTCTAAACGTTTCCACCCTTCTTTTGAAACCTGTATTAGGCGGACACCCTGTAATATTTAGATCTAGCCAGGACTAAAAGCGAAGCTCTCGATAATAGTTATAGTTTACTCAAACAAAATATAAATGTGTAATGCTAAGTGGCAAAGGCAACGTGAAAGGCCAAAAAAACAACTGTAGGTCTAATTACCCAAAAAGCAACTTTTCACGTGCGGCACACTTTTTTTCTACATTTCTTTGCCGTTGTTTGCACGACTACACCGTGAAACTTCCAGAAACTTCCTAGTTACACGTTTTATGGAGGAAATGTCGTACGTCTTGTTTACTTTATTTTTACTGCCGCTCATTTTCACTTTGGTGGCCGCTAGCATTTCTCATTTTCTCACCGCCTCTAAAAAATTTTCTTCCAACAAAAATTGTGTCCTTTGTTTTTTATCTCTCGCTGTAGCTCTGTCACTCGTTTTCGCGTTGGGCTTCGTTGGCCTGCGCCTAATTTCTCTTTATACTTTCTCCTTCCCTCTCCCTTTCTCCATATTCCAAATTTGTGCACATGACAATTAATCTAAGCTTGATACTTTAGACAACACGGATACAGAAACAATTTCTGCTTTCCGTTTTCGTCTTAATTGACTCTCTAGTTGTCTCTGCCTCAAAAGACGCGGGTGAATATGCGATTTCCCGCCGAAATAACCTTGAGTTGCATTTTGGTTGCCATACTGCTGTTGATTGAGTTATTTTACACTGATACGCCTATACTGCGGACGGTCGGTCAGTCGGGCGTACGGCGACGTGATTACCAAAATTTCTCGGAAGGGCAGATTACACATTTTCTTAGGTATGGGGCTACGCGCGCGTGGAGCTCTGCTTTTAAGGTGGCTCGACTGGATTTTTTGGGGGGGATACCTCCCAAGTTTGAGCATTAACTACGTCGGCATGAGTAAAGATATTGGAAAAAGGTTACCACAACTGTATTATATAAAGATAAAAAGTTCTTATGATCAGGGTTTTATAGCAATCGGAGTCGCCATGGCAACGTAACGACGCCAATACGTTTTTTAATTATCTTTGTGTTTCTCTGTACTAGGAGTTTTTTTGAGAAATCGCTTAAGGGAGTTTATACCTGCCATAATTGCCTCAGTTATGGCAAAGTTTGAGCAAATTCTATGAGAACGTTTTCGAAATATTTTGAAACGAAGTTTTAAGCATCATAAAAACAGTGAAATAGCATGCTATCCACACAATTAGCTAATATTTTAAGAAAATGATAAACTTTGGAAACGCAGCTTCATCTCATAATGGTTTGATTCCATTGAAAACTACGTACAAAAAAGGAGGGGAATTGCTCTGGGCGATCACGAGTAAGAAGAATTTTATTAACTTGCATTCAGCTGCTTTTGTTACAGTTTTTGCGCGTTATTTGGTCCATTACCACAAATTTCGCATTTTTCAAAAAACTGCTCGATAATTTTTTTTATTAATTTGACAATCCCGAGATCAATCGCCAATAAATATACCCTGCTAGTTTCAATGACATTGAAATCAGGGAAGGCTTTTAAATAGGGCCTCAAATATAACCAATTTTCCCCCCAGATTTTGTGTTTACATTGACTGCCCTCATTATTCACTGGCATTGTTTTCAAGTTTCATATGCACGTGCACATTTAGCAAAAAGATAGAATTTGCATTAAAAAAAGACCCTCGGTTAAATCTCTGGAATATGCTAATAACCGGGTAAAGAAATTAGTGATATATTATAACATCACAGCAACTCTTTGTAAGAGTTTTCGTGATGTTATAACCCGTGTAAGATAATTAAGTATTGCACCCTACACGATGAGCCGTGACGTTCACCGTTTCAGCTCTCAGTGCTATCTGTGACACAAGCCAATTATTTGCATACATGTATTCTGGATATTTCCTCGGAAAGTAATCGAGAGTTATTTTTCAGGCACATTTGTTTCTTTTGCTGGTTGTGCACGTGCATATGAAACTTGAAAACAATGCCAGTGAATAATGAGGACGCTCACTTTGCCATAATTAAGGCAATTATGGCAGGTATAAATTCCCTTAAGCGATTTCTTAGAAAAACTCCTGGTACAGAGAAACACAAAAATAATTAAAAAGCGTAATGGTGTCGTTACGTTGCCATGGCGACTCCGATTGCTATAAAACCCTGATCATAAGAATTTTTCATCTTTATATAATACAGTTGTGGTGACCTTTTTCCCATATCTTTACTCATGCCGACGTAGTTAATGCTCAAACTTGGGAGGTATCCCCCCAAAAAAATCCAGTCGAGCCACCTTAAGCGTGCATTAGAGCATTCCCCGAGGGTGTCCAATTAAATCAGGTTTTACTGTACCAATGAGGGTGAAACGATGCTGTCCAATAATAATTACGTGCTTGTGCCGTTGATGTTCATGGAAATCTGATTTAATTTGCGTGTTTGATGCTATTTCCCTTCCAGGAAAAGAAGCTTCAAAACGAAGCTGATATAATAGAAGAGCTAAACGATTTGAAAGAGAAGTTTGCAGCTTTGGGTGACGCCCAGGAAGAAATATTGGATTAAGCCGGAAGAATCAAGGAAGCAACAACAGTAGCAGCCGTTTCTTGTACACTTTCCATGTATTTTATACGCTTACAACCAGACTAGTAATCCTTTTGGTCTTTCGTTCGCTTTTTTTAAAAAGCCTTTCTCATTAACAAGACGTGCCGCGGGTTTGATTCATTACTACATTTGCGTGTACAAGGCTAAAAGCTTTGGAAAATACTATCAAATTAAAGGAATCAAGTTTTTAACCTTTTAAAAGAGATAAAAGAAGTTCAAAATTCGTTGAGGGCCCTTGAACCCTTAGCCTATATCAGAGCTAGTTCAGTTGTCAATGTCCAGCGGCTATTTGACCAGTTTGTCGCGATCAACGTTGAGAATTTTAGAGGGAACACAATAACATTGGAGCGCTGGCTTGTGACAAAATATGGGCTCCAAGTGACATATGAATGCGTGAGTTCTTTGAAGTCTTCTTCACTCTTGCCCTGTTCTGCGCGAAAGCGTCTCTTCGAAAAGTTTAAGCAAACCGCCGTGGAGGAGTTTCATTCCTTTGATTCTGTGTCAAACGTCATTTCTGAATTGCACAGTAAAAGAGAAGTTTTATCTCTTCCGACTTCCATGTGTTTGGCATGTGAGAATTCCACTCTCTCTGTAAACAATCAATGTGATGTGGTTCTTTACGGATTGAGTGGATCTTATACAGCAACCAAGATCTCCACACGGTGTCAGTCCTGTAGAAAAATCTATAATTACTCCGCATATGGCAATGTAGCGGAAGGTTGGAAGCTCTACAAAGAAGAAAGAGATTTGGTAGAGGTCAGCGACGTGTGTTGTGTGAAGAAAGAAACTGCTTTGTTTAGTTTCTGTTTAGTTGAATTGCCCACTTAAAAGAGTGCAAGGTTAGTGAATGTAATGTTTTCCCGTGAGATAAAAGCGCTACAGGTTAATTTTTGCGTTGCTTTGTGTCTATGCAAGCCGTTTAGATATAGCAAAAATTAAAAAAAAAACAAATGCAAATATGCAAATATGCATTGTAAAGCTTGATCTTAGAATTAGAAGCAGTCAGCCTCTTGTGTCGTTTGACAACCTGTTGCTGATTGATTATTTTACGCACAATGGCTGCAACATGGTCAGTAAAGCTGAGTTCCCTATCAGTAGTTACACCTAATAAGTTAATTGGATCAATGGAATTGATCTCATGTTTCTCAAAATAGTAGAAAGGGTTTGTCTTACAATTACCCAACCACATACTCAGGCAATAGGACAATTGCACGATGACGATATTTGACTACAACTACCAGAATTCATTTCGGTTTTGCTTTGTTATTTAAATTTGTCAATTCCGCTGAGGATCTCAAGAACAATAGTCTTAATTTGCACAAGAAAACAACAAACTCAAGGATTCTGGTAGTTGTAGTAAAATGACATCACCTTGCAATTGTCCTATTGTCACCATTAACTGCAAGACCGTTGGAGCTAAACCATCCAGTGAATGCAAGGAGATCAGCATTCATACCTTGATGTTCCCTGCTAGCAGAGGTCTCTCACGACGAGGCAAAAATGAGAGAAATGAGAGAGACCTCTGCCGGCTTCCGACACGTTGTTTGATGAAGCCGCCGACCAGATTTCTGGTCGAATCTTACCGGTTTTTAAAACCGGTTACGTTTAATGTGTAATGCGCGTGCCTTGTTAAACTGTACGCTGACAATTATTGAGCCCACAGTGAATTATGGCTTCCATGAGATCAGTGAGTTTCGAAATTTCTCACTTTGATCAAGCCATAAGATCATCCGTTTCTAAGCTTGGCGACAAACGTATATATAAAAGAAATAACTTCCCTACAAAGAAAAGTCTTACTTGGTTTCCTTAAAGGACGCGATACGTTTGCGTGTCTCCCGACGGGCTACGGCAAATGTTTAATTTACCAACTAGCAGTACGAGTGGCGGCCTAGTTATCTGTTGTTTACAATTACAAGGATCTCTTCTCTACAGAACCAGTGGTTTTAGTTGTCTCTCCTTTGAACTCTTCAGCTAAATCCTTCTATGAGAACATCTACAACTTCAAAAAACGCCTTTGCGCTGGAGGTTACCCTCTCAATCTCATGGAAAAAATCACCTCTGAGATTAAATTTACCGAACGGAAGTCAGCTTTACAAAGGAACAATGAAGTGCGAAAGAAAATTCTGCCTTTCGTTACCACATACCACCCTGCTTTGCCGAACCTTAAAAACATTTTAATGAGCAAATGGCACTTAATTCAAGATCAACCACTACTGAGAGAAATATACAACGAGCCTCCGATCATTTCATATAAAAGAGCAAAATGGCTGGGAGATATCCTTGTTAGAACAAAACTATAAGGTCACGTATCACACTATCACGAGCTTATGAGTCGTGTTTGGCCTGTCAACACCTTTCACCTTTAAAATCTAAACCACACAAAAGGCATCTAACGTCTTTTCCAGACCCAACTGGTTTAACGGGCGTCCGAGGTGACGCGCTTTCCCCAAATTTGCGAGATTGTGGAGTTCTCGGCATCGTTTCACATTGCGAAGAATTGTCCACAACATATACCCCCGCCTTCAGCTGAAGTTTCGCGCGCAAACCGGTTCTGTGGGTTGTGTCGCACGTGAGAAAAACGTCACTGGTTGTTAAGGAAACGCCAGCGCATGCGTGATAGGAAACGCGTCGGAAGCCGGCAGAGGTCTCTCTCATTTCTCTCATTTTTGCCTCGTCGTGAGAGACCTCTGCTAGCAGGGAAACCTTGATGTACTGAAATAGAGTCAATACCAGTACAAAAAAGCTGAGTGTCATGATCAGCGTAGGCAAATGTTGTCTAACCCTCTCTTTTATTGAACAGGGCGAGAGTTAACCTAGGCCTGTCCGCTGAGCAATCTAATCTGACCAGAAAACCATGATATCCTACCATCAAGTACCTGCACGCTGCGTTCTCTTGCCGAAGCGAGGGACTCTTCTTGAACGCCCACGGAGTTTTGTTTGGAAGTTTGTTCATTTCACCCTCTCACATCCTCTGCTGTTCCCCTTATCAGATAGGGCTTTAGTTTTTCTCAGTTCAACTTCTTTAGGTAATGTCATTTATGACGACAAACTAGGTCCCGATCGAGAAAGGAGGTAACAAGTTTTCTTTATTAAGATAATTCATTTGAAAATGATGTAAAATCCACATTTTTTTTCAAACTTGGCACAGATGTCAGCCATATACAGGACATTGAAAAACTGCGTTAAAAAAAATGAGATCACCGTCCTCGTTTTCGCCCTGCGTGACTAAATTCTGAGTGTTTTTCCTAGTTGTGCGCGAAGTGTTCGAAACTTAAACAACCCTCGAAAATTCTCAATATAGCAAAAACTATGAATCTGACGAAAACCTTAAGCCCGTTTGTTTGTTTGGGCTATATTGTTGCAGTTAAGAGACCTCAAATTACCTGATCGTGAAAAAACTGTGGAGAAATAGACAGATTTATCATGATCTCTTACTTGTCCGTGGCTCTGAAGGCATCCATATCTAAAGGAACTTCTACAATCCAGATTTTTTTCATCGTTAATATGTATTATTGTGTTGCCATAGCGATTAAAAACGCAATTAAAGTTGGGGGGGCGGGGTTGTGTCCGTTCTCATTTCATTCCAAAACGACCAAAAAAAGGACAATTTCGGTTTCAAATGATCATTTTGCGCGAGCGGACTGAGTTTCAAGACAATCTCCATTTTAGCCAGGTAGAATTATGACTGCAAAAGAAGTAAATATCTCTTTTTAGGTGGCGGTGAAATTCTGTCACCACCACCTTGGAAGACTCAGTTGTATGCGCAGTAGCTGATGCGCAGTGCAAAACAACGTAATTACCTTAATTTCGGGGAAGGCATAGGTAACATCGACCTAAACCAGATGAGTCATCGATATGTCAGCGGCGTCTTACAAAATGACTGAAATGATCCCATCGACTTCCGCTCACTTGATCGATCGCAGCGAGTTTGTCATATTTGAGTTAGTTTGAGTTATAAAACGGTCAATAACAGGGCGTAATAAGCTAGCTAGCTTATTACGCCCTGGTCGATACTGTCTTTCCCAGTTTATATCACTAAAAAAATGTGAAATCTGTAATAGGCTCAGCTGTATTGCATTAAACGACGCGGCTTATGGTCTTCCCAAGGAACGCTGGTCTCGGTCGATGTTATTTAGTGTCAACACGTCACGAAATCCTATCTAACATCGACCGAAACCTAACCGGAACTCGGCTGCGGCTACGAAAAAACCGAAATAAAATAAATTCCGCGAGAGTGCGAATCCCATCTCAGTTTTATTGCTGTCATTTGAGTCTCAAACAGTAGTTTTCAAACTTTTCGACTTTCACCTAAGAAAGTTTAAGAAGTTCATAATAAAAAAGTTCTACTTTCACAATCAGACGTGCCAACATTCAACCTGACAATGGCTAGTTCTTGGAGATTCAGGCACTTATCCACACCGTTTCACCGAAATCGGTCGGATTTTTCACAATAAATATATTTTTTTTAGAAATAAAATGCTTTCCAAGTTGAAATCTGGAAAATGTTGGACTCGCCTTGCCTCATATCCACTACAATATGGAAACTGACCTTAATGAAATAATCCGGCGATTTGCAAGGCTTCATCTGAGGAGAATGGAACTTAGCCTGCGAAAATATTAGAGCGAGGAGAAACGGATGTTTTCGCAGGCCAAATGGAACTGGCCAATATCCAGAACCCCATGGAAAGGGGACTTCTGGAATTTTCAATTTTAGGTGCATTTTACGGCTTTAAGAAGGTTTAGTTTTTTCATTGCTCTCTCCCACACAGTTTCCAATCAAAAAAATATAGATTAACCTGGGATGGAAAGTGTGAAAAATTCAGCGTCCTATTAAGCTTAACTCAAGCCCAGAGGGGGTACTCCGGATTTCAAGTTACAGGGATGATCGAGTGGGGGGCAAAAATCAAAACCCCCCAAAATCCCTTGGGCTTCAAAAAAAAAAAAAAAAAAAAAAAAAAAAAAAATCACTGGACCAAAATTTATCCCCCAAAAAATCTCATGTCAAATTTCCGAGTCATTATGAAAATTTCCAGGAAGCATAAAATGATATAACACGAAAAATAGAAAGATTAGTTTTGAATACCCCCAAAAATCCCTACTTATAGCCAAATTCTTTGTATCGCGTGAGCGTTTTGCAAACTTCAAAGGAATTTTGGGTTTTTCTGTTCCGTAAATCATCTAGCGGACCTCTTAGGAAACACATCTTTACTTGTGATTGGTGCATTTCGATGTACTTTGTTTGTTTCTGTGTTTTAAGGTTCTTTGCTTGTGATCACTCTGTTTCGGGCAATAATCGACTAGTTTTCTTCTAAGATTTTTCTTTTTTTTTTTTGATCATTCTTATTCTTGTCTCTTGCCCTCGACAAAAAGTCCACTCATCATCGCGATTTCCTTCGCTATTCTTGAGCAGTCTGGAGTCATTCTCAGTTTTGTTTTTGTGGGCCAAGCTAGGCGAGTGCTTTGCATTGTGATTTGCATTAACTCCGCTCCCACTCAAATGATTGACGGAACAGAAAAACCCATTCGAAGTTTGCAAACTCGCAGCTCGATACAGTCAAGCTACCAAAAAAATAAAAAATACTTGCTAAAACTTTCCTACCCAAAAAATCCCGAAATCGAAAATTTTAAACACCAAAAAATTCATCGATCATCCCGGTCACTTAAAATCTGGAGCACCCCCCGCGGAACTCAAGCTACAAAAAGTTCTAAAATCTATTAGTTACTGTGAACGTAAAGAATAAAGATGGTCGACAAACGTGATTTTTATACTGTACACGTGTGGAAAATACAAATTAGCTGCTGAGTTCCGGTTAGGTTTCGGTCGATGTTAGATAGGATTTCGTGACGTGTTGACACTAAATAACATCGACCGAGACCAGCTTTCCTTGGGAAGACCATAAGCCGCGTCGTTCAATGCAATTCAGCTGAGTCTATCACAGATTAAAATATTTTAGTGATATAAACTGGAAAAGACCGTATTGACCGTTTTATAACTCAAACTAACTCAAATGTAACATCTTCGCACTGTCTTCGCCGCGATCGATCAAGTGAGCGGAAGTCGACGGGATCATTTCAGTCATTTTGTAAGACGCCGCTGACATATCGATGACTCATCTGGTTTAGGTCGATGTTATCTAGTGCCTTCCTAATTTCGGCGAGAAATCAATACATTTATAACCAGCGTTACCAATCGCTTATAATCGATCATCGAAAATCCAGTCGATATCAGTCAATAACAATTAGCTTATTCTTATCGATCAAACAGTCTAATAAAACATATTGATGATCTCAGAATTTTTCTTGCTGATAATCCAGTCGATGTCCTTGCAATTAATGAATCCACAGGGTGCCCACACAATCTGTTTGTGTAGCCGATTGTTATTTTATAGAAAATGTGCTGGATTTACCGTTTGCTTCACCTATAGCGATATATCGCTAACTACGTTTATAAATCAATGATAAATAAACATTGAATTACCTTGCCTATGGTGTATAGTCGTCCTTTTGCCTCAAAAGCGGTTTTTTGAGCGATTTTAAGCGATTTTGAATGAATTTGAGTTCGCCGTTGACTGTTCCATATATATGTTATATATATAGTTAGCGATATATCGCTATAAGTGAAGCAAAAGGTAAATCCAGTACATTTACTATAAAATAACAATCGGCTACACAAACAGATTGTGTGGGCCCCCTGTGATGAATCCAAACTTGACGATGCGAGCTCTACATCCTGGTTACGAAATCACTCGTAGAGACAGAAACAGGAATGGTGGCGGTGTATGCTTTTACATTAAAACTTCTACGTATTAACTTTGTAATACGCCGTGACTTGAACCTGAATGATCTTGAGAATTTATGTTTAGAAAATTCAAAAACCATGCTTTAAGCCATTCCTCGTAGTAACTTGGTATAGGCCACCTTGCTCTTCAGCTGAACTTTTCTCACACTATGAGACCCTTGTCGGAAAATTAGACACTCTCGATCTTGAATACTATCTGATGGGTGACTTGAATTGCAATATGGCCTCTGCCCATTTCGACACTAACACACGTTTACTTTGTGAAATTTCTGATATATATGGGCTACAGCAGCTTATAAAAGAACCAACTCGTATTACTGAGTCATCATCGTCTTTAATTAACGTAATATTTACAACTGTATTAACCGGGTAGTCTGTTCAGGAGTTTTGCATATTGGCATTAGTGATCACAGCCTCATTTATGTTTATCGTAAACTGTCTCCAGAGTTTGCTTTCAAAGGGCGTTCAACTAAAACTTATAGAAATTTTAGTAATTTCAATCGAGAAAACTTTCGCAGGGATATTTCTCGACAGGATTGGTCTTGTACCAGTGATGACCCAAACGTTTTGTGGGCTGACTGGAAAGCTAAATTTTTGTCCATTGTGAACAGTCATGCTCCAATCAAAACTAAACGTGTTAGGTCAGGCAAGGTACCTTGGATCACATCAGACCTGCGGAAGGGTATGCGCGATCGCGATGTTGCTAAACGGAAAGCTATTAAGTCTAACAATCCTCAAGACTGGGCTATGTACAAAAGGCTACGTAATAGGATCAATGGAGAAGTCAAATCTACAAAGGCATTCTATTATGCTAGTGCGTTTATTCAGTCTAATGGCGATTCACGTAAAACCTGGCAATTGATTAACGAACCCACGTCCAGTCAGAGAAATAACGCGTCTGTGAAAGAATTAAAACTAAACGAGAACTTAGTAACCAATTCTCACGAGCTTTCCAATGCATTTAATGATCACTTTTCCACAATTGGAACCAAACTAGCTAATGAGGAACCCCTTGTTATCGACGGTTCAAGTTATGCCGATACGATTACATTGTTAGCAGCGACAACAAATTCATTTTCAGTCCAATTAGTAGTAGTAATGTCTTTACTCTTTTAAATAAATTATCGAAATCCAAAGCAACAGGTCTCGATAATATTTCGGCCAAACTAATTTGGGAATGTACGTATCTTATTTCGATCCCTTTATGTAACATTTTCAACAACTTTTTAAGTTCTGGTTTATTTCCAGATGACTGGCA